CAAGTTGGCGCGTGTTCATCATTGCAACAACTTTGAGCAAGTCTGTTGCGTGCATACTTGTCGTTGTAGCGAGGCATGCATTAAACCAAGTGACCGATCAGGGGACAAGAAGGATAGAGGATTGTGAATCTGCCAACCGTAATGCAACCAGTTCGGTGTCATTCTGGTGGTAGAGTGGATGGAGTTGGTGTACAACCCCTTCACGGTTTCCAACTCGAACGATTAGAGTATGAAGAAGTTGAGTAACAGTTTGGCTAATTTCCTCCGCCAAACCTTTAGCTTCAGGATGCCGACTAGATGTCATCCTTTGTTTGATGTCGTAGATTTGAGAGTTGAAGTCCTTCCATCTGCACCAGTGTCATAGCCCCATTCATGAACGGTTCATGAACGGGTTGTCTGTGACCGAACCCCAATCACTAGTCACAAAAATCATGACCGGTAGGCGGTCACGGCAGTCACGGCAGTCACGGGGAGCGGAGAGGGTTTTTTTGGGGGGCGGCTAGGGAGGGAGTTTTTTTTGTGGGAGGGTGGGGGTCATCGGAGGTACCCCCCCCAATAATGTTTTCATTATTTTTTCATGAATAATATATTTTTTTAATTTATATCAGGGAACCAACCAGCATGACCATTTTTGTTCGTTGTTTTATAGGTCATTTCAATTTTCTTTTGTCATTACGTTGTGGGGCTTGTGGCGATGGTGGCGAGGTGAGCCATTGAAGGGGGGGAGGGGGGGGAGGGGGAAAGCATTGTCATGGTTTGGCCGGTCGCTATGCCCAACTCATCATCGTTCACTGATCAGGCCCGGTCAAGTTCATAGGGTAAACACTGATATGCGCTAATGAACCTGGTGTCCCGATTAATCACAAGAGTTTTCGGGGGGCCATAATGTAGAATGCACTTCTGATGGAATTCATTCATGACAAGATTATTTGGTGCATGAGGTGGTAAGGAATCAGATTCAGAAAAAAATTAAAAAATCGATCACTAACCACCATGACTTGCGAATGTTCTCCTTCACTTACCTTTCCTATGTACATGGAGTGTATAGAGACTGACTCACCGGAGTGCTCACTCCGACCATGTGGCAAATCCTAAGAGTGGGTCGGAGAAGCTCATGGTTGGGTACACACAAGCGGTCATACTTCCCATAGCGTCGGAACAGCAAGCCCTCGCACTCGTGAAAATCGGGTTAACTACTAGGATCAGTCTTAATTTTCTCAAGGATGGGACAAAGTTTCAGATCTTTGGCAACTGGGACTTTTAGGAATATTTGTACCCAACCTAGTCGCACTCTCTCTCAAAACCAACCACCCATACCCACTGTACACCTGACCTACCAGACCTTTACCCATCTCTACCTGCTTCGAAAGAAAAAGACGTGTACCCATACCTGCCCTACCCGAACCTCTTCAGACTTTAACTGCCCATACCTGCCCATTGACTTTTTTTTTTTCAAAACCACCCGTAGCCACCTGAACCCAAACTCTATATTAACCACGCGTGCCCTATGTAGCCCGGGTTTTCTTTACCTATTCCCACCCACAATTGTATGGACCCACCCATAACTGGCTGCACCCGCCTCTTGAGTCTTGCCGTCTGCTGTGGCTGCGGATCACACCTACAATGTCCTCCTGTTGGGTCACACCTACGACACCGGTCATGGAAGCTATAAAGGATGGACAATTACGGGCAGTGAGAAGGACAACGGTTGAGGACATGAACAACAGGCGGAGACTTCAAGGAGTAGTGGGAACAGGGAATGGAAAGGGGCGGGAGGCAATGGGCCTCGCTCCACTACTCACAAAATGTTGAAAATGAGAATGAATCTTCCGCCCGAACATGGAAAGATACACTATCTTTCTGTTTTCTTCTTTGTATTTCGCGAGTAGTGGAGCGAGGACCACTCGAAGTCGGGAAACGTTTGGACATTTGAACTTTCAACAACGTAGCGGCTCGACTGGGGCAAAAAAAAAACAAAAGAAAGGTTGTTGGGGAATTTCGACGAGGCAGCGGAAGAAAAAAATATGGGCCTATACCTTGTGGTGGCGGGAGAGGGCCGAAGGGAGGGGGGTGGCTGGGTTGGGGGATTGGAATGGGTAGGTAGGTACCAGGCATTCCACGGTTACCCGATAGGAACATCTATCCGCCTGTACCCATACCAGTTTTTTTTGTTGTCACCCGTACCTGCCTATACCCATTCTAGTTTTCTTTTTGGCCGCTCATACCAGGGTTTTTTTTTTTCCTCCTGCCCGTACCTGCCCCCACCCGCCTATGATCTGTATAAGGGCAACTGTGTCCGCCCTAACAACGACCACTATTTTTTTTGTCTGCCCATACCCAACTCCCCTTTCGGAAGGGGTACCTAACCCCACTTGTAACTTGGCGGTTTCAGTTGGGTATAGTCAAGTACAGGCAATGGTTACCCATTTGCCCTCTCTAATGCAAGTCATCACCATCATCTTGTTGCAACATTGCACAAATCCCATACTGGCTTGCATCCATAGTAACTACGAATATGAGTTTGGAATCTGCAATACAGAGCACATGATGACTTACCAAAGTTTCTCTCAAAGCTCGAAATATAGTTTCACATTTCTCACTTCTTGCTTGTTATTCTGGAAAGTGTGTAAGAAATGAAAGAGAATTTGGGTACAAACTTCCAGTAATATGAAGCCAAACCAAGAAAGGAATGCAGTTCCTCTACATTCATCGGTTGAGGTCACTTGTGTATGACCTCGACTTTGGTTGTCTCGGGCTCAAGGCCATCAGCAGACAACCGGTACCCGAGATAGATGACACTGCTCCACCCAAACTCATATTTCTCTAAGTTGGGGTGCAACTTTGCCTCCTTGAGGATCTGGAAAACTTCCTCAAGGTGTTTGATATGCTAATTTATGGACTTGTTGAAAATCAAAATATTATCCAGATAAACAACAATGAATCTGTTAATCTGATTTCGGAAGTATGTGCGTTCATGAAACTGAAGGGTATATCGATAACCTCGTACAGCCCATTGCATGAATGCAGTTTTGTGTCAGTCAGTTAGACTGTCTTCAATCTGGTGGTAGCTATGAATCCCCTTGACCGACGCCCACGCCAGTCGACACCGCGTGGAAAAACAATGAGGTTGCAGAGCACGAAAAAGTTGGAAAAAACCAATAACCCCATATTTTTATTTTTATTTTACGACTTTGTTTTCAATTTGTTTTAATTCTCGTAGGTTGCAGTCGGAACTTGGCTGCCCGCGGCTGCTGCCCAGTTGCGATCACGACCACCGACCCAAAAAGGTCCGCGGTCATGACCGAGGATGATTCATAGGGTGGTAGCGATACTTGAGGTTAATATTGGAGAAGAACTTGCACCCAGCTGCAACATCCAGCAGATCATGTATGTGCGGCAAATAATAAACGGTTTTTCGTTTCAAGCCATGATAGTCGATCCGCATCCGAAGTTTGCCTCCTTTCTTAGGAACAATAAAACAGGTGCACCGAACTCAAACCCACTAGGCCTGATCCATCCACGGTCAATCATGCCATCAATTTGTTTCCTCGGTTCCTTCAGCTGGCCTTGTTCCATATGATAGACGTAGCCCTGTAAAGGAGCACTCCCTTCTGCTAGTTCAATGTTATGTTTAACTGGATGCGTGGGGGCTCTACGTTGTTAGACCTAGACTTCCATAAATCAATCTAGTAGACAATGAATGTTCACTGGGATTTGCAGTGGCAAATCATCCTCATCCGTAGAGAGAAAATTAGTTTGTGAGTTTATGATAATAGTAACTGAATTTGAAGTAGATACAAATGGGGTAGAGGTAAATAAAATTGAAGTAGAGGTATCATCGGAAGTTGAAGAAGAAAATGCGGCAAAAGTAGAAGGCACGTGAGAAGGATTAACAAAAGCTATGCACGAATGTTCACTTTTTTTGTGCCAGTGCCACTTCTTGCAAAATTTCATAGCATGGAGAAAAGTCACGGGGGGCTCACGCGTTTTATCCAAGAGGACAAGACGCTTGTTTCCCTTGGCATCACGTACCACAACTAGTGACTTTTCTCACTCAGTTCGTTTCCATTGGGCCTTCAACCAGCCTAAGCTAAGAACTGTGTCGAATGGACACCGATCGAGGACATAGAAATTCAAAACATATTTGATAGTGCGATCTTCGTCAAAGGTAATGTGTAAACCTTTGACTGCATGTGTCGAGGTGACAACCTCTTTATTGTCTATCTCGGCCCGTCAAACGTTTTGCAGTTCCAGTTTGTTCATTCCCAGACCCGCCTTGCAAATTTCGTTAGGGGAAAGAAAATTGGTTCTTGAGCCACAATCAATTAGCGCGCAGATGTAACGACGATTAATGAGCAATTTAAAAAAGATCAACTCCACTCCCCCTTGGGCACAGTGGGAGTGAAAATAGACTTCCTCATATCTCTTTTCAAGGCTCGGTGTAGATGACCTTAACTGCATCAGTCTTGGATTCATCACCAGATTCGGCCTCAAGGGCAGGCCATTGGTCAAATTCAAGCTCCTTGGGAAAACCTGCAATTGACTGTTCAACTCACATTGGTGTAGAGAGTGTTGAGAACAAGTTTATGCCCTTGCTTGTTTCCCTAGAGACAACAACAAGTCTACACAGCATGCCCATGTTTTTGATAATGTAGGCACACACACAACTTCACTTGTCTCTCTTATTCCTTTTAACTGGTATGGAGGTCTTCCAAAGGCTTGGTGGAAGCATACTCCAATTTTTCATGAATCATAACATTTTTGAGAAGGTGGATTAGGGTTCCCTTACTTAAACTGCGGTTAGGCCCCTTGCCTGAATACATTTCTCATCTTCATTAACATCAGACTCAAGACTGATGTAGAACAGCCCGCATCAAAGTCCAGCTCTAGATCGTCATCCAGAGTAGAATCATTCGCATAAGATTGGTGCTCAACCTCCAGTTGTTCACATCGGGCAAGGCGATTGCTGCTTCCAGACCGCCTGCGTCCAAAGGACTTACCTGCAGCTGGTGTCTTCGCATGACTGATGAGGTCTTTGGCCTCTAGGTTGACTAGCTTCGTCAAGAGCTCACGCCAGCTCGAATGCTCCTTGAATCCTAGTCGGGAGATATAATCTTGGGGGGCCACACTGGTAACCATATCCATGCAAGAGATATCATTCCATCGCAGATCTAGAGTAGTGACCAGGTTAGTCAAGAGCAGCTTTCGAGTTTGCATGGAACTCCTCCACTTTTGGCCTTTCAGGGCCTCAAGCTTCAGTCTTGCTTTGAGAGCAACATGCTTGTCTTCGTATTGCGCAATGAGAAGGTCCTCAAGGATGCTAACAAGAGTTACCTTCAGCCACTCAGTCAAGTCAATTCTTTTGTAACCTGCACTAACAGCTTGGATTTTTGTGAAACTTCATATAGCAGACTCAATATTTATGCCCATGATCATACTTCGACACTCTTGCGGTGTCTGCAGCATCTCGAAGTATGAACTCATGAAGTTGATCCAAGAGGTAATGTCCCCCTTCCCTTTGTACTTGGACGGTGGCGTAGCCACCCTCTTGTCCACTATGGGACCATTATCATGTACGCCAACAGGAACTACAACGTTTTGGGCTGGTATACCTGCATTTGGGACTGGGACAAGTGCAAAACTTCCAGCGCCTGAAGAGTTGGCACCGAGTCCTGCGCTTACCACATGTTCATCTTGTCTTTGCATGAGGATTGAGTGAGGGAAGGATTGGGACAACAACCGAACGAACATTGGGAGGTCGAGGGATAGTCAATTGGGTTTGCTTAATGCCCGCTATCTGAGCCTGCGACTTTTGGTCCCGCTTCTCTAGAGCGGCCAAACATTCCTCAAAATTCTCTAGAGTTTGCAGTTAGACCAAGGCAGTGAAGGAGGCGGCTAACTTCTCCTGAACTGGACATTACTAGTCTCTGGAACAGTCTGAATGGCCACTTGGGCAGCAATGCTTGTTGCTTTAGTTGTTGTCTCTGCCTCCCTCTCTCTCTTCAGTGCATCATCATAGAGTTTCTGAAATAACAACTTCTTTTTCTCATCAGCTGCGTCCAGCATGACCTGCCACTGTGCAGAACTGATATCTATCATGCTGGAGGATGGGGTGTCAGTAGAACCCTCAAGGGGAGTCTTCTCTTCACTTGCGTTTGGACTAACACTCATCTTGCCCCTCCTTACACTCTCGAAGAGAATACCTTATCTCTCCCTTCTCTCTCTTTCTATCTTTTGCACATGCGTATCAAGACTGGACATAGATAGTTCATATAAGGAAAAAAGAATAAAAAATCACAAGAGGGAAGGTAGAACTCCTAGCCGGAGCGGCAACTCATTTTGATTAGAGAATGACATCCACGCAGAAGGAAAAAAAAAAAAAAGAATAAGGGGTAAGTGCATTCATGTCACCTTTGAGTATCGAATGGGCAAAAAAAAAACACGTCGGCAAAAAAAAAATACGTTGAGTTCGGAAAGGCAACGGAAGTACCGAGGTGTCAGACTGGGTCTCATATTTACGGGGGTCGATCGTGGCGTCAGAGGAGGAAAAAAAAAAAAAAAATGCCCAACGGATACTTTTGGACTGCAATCGCTCATTTCAAGTTGGGGCGTGGTTTCTTTGCCAGCACAATTTTTTTGTGCCTTCAGGGTTTCAAAACATGCCGCGTCCGCCGTTATTTCAAAAAAAGAAAAAAAGAAAAAAACACCAGAGATTTGATTTAACAAACGGGTCCAGTCAGATCAGACATGAAATCCCCTCTTGACTAATCATGCATTAGAGATAAATCAGATAGAAAAGTAACCAACTGAAGCGATGAAATTTTTGAGGGTGTAAGTGGTCATAGCCAGACGCGGGACAGTGTGGTAGAATATGTACAAAGACTCAGTTTCTCGGCCTTTTGGCTAACTAGGAAAGGGGAACGCAATCAAGTGGATGCGAAGCTGCCAGATGGGCAGATATTAACAGGACATGAACCGAGAGCAGATGCACAAACAGATCATGGAGAAGGAGATTGGGGAGAGAGAGAAGGAGAAAAAAAAGGAAAACCCACATATTAGGAAGGCCATGGAGAACCGGATACGCGCAAAAAATAAAAAATTTAAGTCTAAAACAAAAAATTGGGATCAACAGCCAAAAGAGCAACGACAGAGAACTAAATCCGATGCTACCTTTACTCGAAAAGGAAAAACAAAAAAAAACAAGGATCCCATACTCAATTGAGATTTAAAGAGAACCCTTTTAGCCCCTTGGTGAACATTAAAGACGGAAACCCCTTCACTCGAATTTATCGCTTAAGGGAAAGCAGGGTTTTTTTTTTTTTTTTTTAATGGGCATAGGGCTCCAATTTGTTCGTGAGGAGCAGCACGTGCTGGGAACCGGGCCCAACGTCCCATATGAAAATTTACATAAAATTTTGAAAGTTTGAGATACTGGGCCATTACCCGGCTTTGGCTAAGAAAAATTTAAGCTACTTAGAAAATTACTACGACTAACTTTAGAAATAGGCAAGATTCAGAAAACGACCCAGAAACCCCCCATCAATCCTCTTTACCTCACTCCGGCAAGACTTACTGCAGCAGAGCCACCATCTTCGCTGCTGCTGTACCCTATTTCCATCCTTCGAGCTAGCCCCCTCACTAGTAGGACGCTTGATATCCCACCATCTACTTCTCCCACTCACCTCTTTTTTTGAAACAATGCTCCAATGTATTCGTGGGGAGCAGCACGTGCTAGGAATCGGGCCCAGCGTCCCATCAGAAAACATATTAGGAAATATATATGCGAAACAATTGAGATACCGGGGCAATTACCCGGCTTCGGCTAAAGAATCTTGAAAACACATGGGGATAGTCACCGACGGAGCGCCAGAAAAGTTTTCAAAATACTCAAAGCCCCCAGGGACCCCAAACAAAACCCTCCACGACCCTCCGACCGTGTTTTATTCACTGACGGACTCTTTTAGGCCTCACACCCCCATCCTGCGAGGTTACAAGGCAACACGACTCACCCCAGCTCCGGTTAGCGTCGCCCCGACAGTAACCCTTGGTTGTCCCTTGGAATGCCCACCCCAAAGCATCCCCAGATCTCTCTACCAGGACTCATGCTCCTGCTATCAACATGTTATAGGGCAACACCCCAGCACCAGCTAGCGTTGTTCTGGCATCGGACAGCCACAGATCCATGAACATAACAACATCAGAACAACCTACAGTGAGTTGTTAGGAGCCCCAAGAATCCCAGAGCAATCTTAAAACCACCAGGAGCAACCGAGAGCAGCAGACTTTGCTTAAAAAAAGTGAGAATCAACTAAGATTATTCGGGAGCCGACATCAAGAAAATGACATTACCCCAGTGTTATCACGAAGTACAAGAAAACACAGCATTGGCGATCCTAGCACAGCCAACGAGCTGGGTCAAGGAGGTACTAGCGCCAACCGCGTCACGGGCTGACGTGGCGCAACGCTGAGAAGAGGCGGGCAATCGGTAACATCATGAAAAAACCTGCCGCGTGAAGGTTTTCCCCGGCTCCCTCGTGATCTCCAAAGCCGCCACCTCATGACGAGTGGCAAACAGGCAAAGCGAATGGCAAATCGTCATAGCTGATGGAGAACAGCGAAGTGCGCCCCCGGGTATCAGATACTGCCTGGTACGAGACGAACCGCGAAGGATTGGAGATCCCGAGGGAAGAAATGCGAAGATAGCCGAACGAACGGTGCAACAGGTTTGCACCCTGGTGACGACCCGAAGCACCACAAAGAGTGGAAGGTGGAGACAACGTGGAAGAACACAAGGGGCATAGAGGAGTGTGGAGGTGACGGGGGGGACGTCATCCATATTAAGTCTGGACGTTTTGACCAAACATGGTGGGAAGGACGGGTGGATGATAAGGTGTGTGTCGTATCCTTGTGAGATTCGTGACAGATGTGCAGCCAGAGTTGCGGGTGATCACATTCTCAATCTGCGAAGGATGGCGCTCGACGCATCGGACAGGTAAAACAAGCAAGGGAAGAGAGGGTTAGTGGAGGTCTTCTCAAGGGGCCTCGGGACCCTTGACAGGTCGCGGAGGAGAAGATTGACCGCACGACTAGCTCTCGGACAACAACAACGTTTGTACTCCAGGCAAGCGCATACGAAAGGCAAAAACAACCTCGTCACGAGTGAAGATCCCGTAATCTCAGGTAAGCTCTTGCAGGGGAACACTGACAGGGGAGGAAGGGAAGGAAGGGAGAGGGCAACAACATAATAGATACAACGAGTTGGGGATCGGGGGGAAGGGGAGGTATACGGTGGACGGAGAAAAAAAAAAAAATCAAACATCCTCTCCCCATATCGTTCCCTTTTCTGTTTCTCAACCCCCCTCCCTCCCTTTGCTCCCTTTCTCTTTCTTCCCTCTCTCCCCTTTCTAATCATCGCTTTTGCTCCGTCCTTATCGCCCTCCACCCTATCCCCCCCCTCTCTATCTCCTTCCCACCACTTCTACATTGCTCCCCCCTTCCTTTTCCTAATCCCCTTTCTTCTACCTTCCTCTCTCGTCGCCCCCCTATCCTTTGCTCCCCCTCCCTATCTCTCCCCCCCTCCCTACCCCCTAGTCGTTGTTGTGACCTTGTCCTCATCTTCTTCCACCTTATCCCCTTCTTTCCATTTCCACTTTGTTCAGTTGTACAGTTGTCTCCACCTTTCCCCTAGAGGACAGCGACAGAGTGATAATTCGAGAGATTTGGAAGGAGAGGAGACTGAGAGAGCGACAGACAGAGAGTGAGAGAGAGAGAGAGAGAGAGAGAGAGAGAGAGAGAGAGAGAGAGAGAGAGAGAGAGAGAGAGAGAGAGAGAGAGAGAGAGAGAGA